GGGGCACCAGATTGCATCCTGCCATATTGCCAGTGCAGGGGGATCCTGATCCAAGACTGCCCCTGAACGGGCAAGTAGGAAGCTCCTGTGCTTGGGAGTCCCACCAGCTAATGTGAGCTCCCAGTCATGGGGGCGCATGGTGCACTCCTGCAGTTGGAAGCCTAGATCAGCTGAAAGGGCTCGCAGCTGCAGGGGTTCACTAGAGTCCTATATCCTGGCTGTGTCCCAAAGGCCATGAGCCCCAGTCTGCTGCTGCTTTCATCTGAGGGGGCATACTGGGGTCCAGGTTGCATCCCTGTGGCTAAGAACAGCAGCTGATCAAAACTCCAAGTCTCATAGGCACTTTGTAGCCCTTAACTCTGGGCTGCCGAGGCTGGGAGCAGCAATCGGTTGATTGGCATTCTCAGCCCGACGAACCCATGGGAGTCCAGGAGCCCCGATCACCCTGGCCCCACGTTCAATTAGTAGCTTGAATTTAAAAAAAAACAAACCAGCCATAAAGTTGTTACACATTTTAGCTTATTTCTTGTTTTGTCATGCCATTAATTTCATTAATGTGGGCTAGGTAACTACTTAAGATATGATTAACTGGTTAATTATGCTTCAAGTGTAGTGTGTGCCAGAGGCCTAATGGTGATTTAGAGGCAAGTGAAACTTGTGTAAAAGTCACTTTTTTCAAAAGGCAGTTGTTTTGATTAGTTTTTTTCTTTCATTTGTCATGTAACTCTGGAACTCCCAGTAAAATGTCCCTGTATGCATGGGTCACATATTTCTCAACAGAGAACCTTTTGGTCAAAAAGTACTGCTCCAAAGACTTGTGTGTAAAGAATAATCCAATCTGCAGTCCTGCACAAAAAGATGCCTGAAAACGCAGCCTGAATTGGGCAAAATCATGCAGGGTGAAAATCTATTCCTAACTGTCTGTTTGTTTTAGTGGAGAATACATGCATGTAGATGCATATAATTATTTTTTTAAATTCTTTTTTCTGTTGCTTTTTAAGGCATCAGGAAGCTGGACAACTCTCTATTAAGCCCCCAAGTGTCATATGCACTGAAACATCAGATATTGCTTCCTTTACCAGTTTGTCTCTGAGTCCACAGGTAATGTTGGTTCTTTTTTTTTTTTAAAGCAGAAATGCTCTGACTTTATTATGACAGCACATTGAAGCAAATATAGTGATCTTGGATAGATATATCTTGGATAGGTAAGAGCAGAGGTACAATGTCATGACTCTTTAACACATTGTTGAAACTATTAATATAGCATGTGATTCATTGTCCCTCCCATGTTCTTTGTGACATCTTTAGAGCTGAAGACAAGACTTTTTTAGTTAAAAGACCAGAACAAGTTGTCAAAATTATTTGGAGTCTCCTTAAAAATTTCTAAGTGTCAACAGTACATTATCTTTTTTTTAATTTTATTTTGAGAAGTATATTGGAAGAATTAACCCTAAGGGGCAATTCATGTAATAATGCAACAATAAATATCTTAAGTAGAGAATACTGAATTACTCATAAAATAATGAATTAGCTAGCAGTCAATCTTACCAAGTAAGTGATGGATTATATGGGAAGTAAACAAAGTCATTGGTGATGCATGGGGTGCATGCGGGTGCATGTGCACCCCCTGAGATTGCCAGCAGTGTCGGCAGCAGCCAGAGACTGTGGACAATTACCACTTGCTAGCCCCCACCCTCGCCAGCAGCATCTGCGGGCAGTCTGCTGATGCTGCTGGCAGCATCTGTGAGTGGTTGCTAATCTCCAGTAGGTGCTCGCTGGCCCCCCACTTTGCTGCTGCCTGCAAGCGGTTTTCATGCCCCTTCAGCCTCGGGAGGCACAGGACATTCATGAACTACATAGTTTGTTTATTAGTGTCCTTTTCATGTTGCTTTTTGTTAAACTTCAAATTTAATATGTGAAATTGTCTCTGAACATACTTTTATGCATCATTGTAATGTTTTACACAAAGTCTCTAATCTTGAATTTTAACATCTGATTGATTCTTTGTCATTTGATTCACATTTAGCTAACTGAATTGTCTGGGATCCATGGTCTATGCATGTGAGAGCATGTAGGCATATATGTGTGTGTATGCACATAATGAGCTTTCCTCATACTCTGAGACTGGTACAGTAGCAGGAGTTGGAGTACTGTGCTGCAGTCACAGGCCAATTGTCCTCTCTAGAAAATCAGAAAGGGAAAAAAGATAAAATGACTTCTCCAGAGCACAGGAGGCAGAGCTATGAGTCGTGGTTTAGTAATTGGGTATCCCTAGGTGCATGTTGCTGTGACAGAGTATTTACATCTGTCCAAGAAGTGCACCAGAGGCAGAAAATAAGCATTATCTGTCATATAAGGTCTGTTTAAAATATACAACAGGCAAGAGTTTTAAACGCATTTAATTAAAATAGAGAGGTGCAGGATGTACTTGCTTGTATCTTAGGTTCTCTTGGACTGTGGACAGACTTACGTTTGTCACACTGCAAGTGCCATAGCACTTTGAAGCACTATAAAAATGTAGTGGTGCCAGGCACAAACAGACATGCAGGGTGTACTAGCTGGAGCACTACAAAGTTGTGAAGGCATTCAGCAACGTCCTGTCCAGCCAGGGGATGATGTGGTGTTGCTCAGTCTTGCAGTTATACTCCTCTCCCTCTGGGGCTGTGCTCAGTGACTGTTCATCCTGTTCTTCTTCCCTTCGCTCCCCTCCCTTTCCCTCCTAGGTGTTAAAGCTACATTTGGTTTTATCATTTTTGTGTTTGTGTGAGCTATTAGTGGTAGGTATGAATGTATTATTGTATACTTATCATGTGACTTAAAGCAAGCTGTGAATTGATTGCTAAATCAAGGACCAGAAGTATTCATTTTCAGACTTTGGCTACTCAGAAAAACCAAGACCTACAGGGTAGAAGTTAACCTCTAGAGTATGTGCCTAGAAGTGGTATGCATATTGATCAGCCAGGAAAGTGGCAAGGCTCTATTTTGCGAGAAGTTAGAGGCATTCACTTCAAACAGGGGCTGGTTACATTTCTAAGGAAAAAACCCTTAACAGGGAAAAACCTATACTAAATACACAGAAGGAAATCTTATGCAGAGTTTTTAATATTTCCATCTTCTTGAATAGAATGAAACAGTAGGGGAGTTTAGAAGTTTGTCTTTGGAAGAAGAGAGATGTCTCTTTTTCAAGGATATATAATGAAAATATAATTATATATAATATCCTTGAATACAATATTGAGTCAGGAAAGATTCCTGACTGGACAGATGGCAGCCTCTCTAGGGGAAGGGAGTCATAATACACAGGATCTCTGAGAACTGAATAGAAAAATAAAGTATTTATGTGATCCCTTTAGAGAGGCAATGGTGCCTTGGAATCCCAGGGCTTAGGAAAGTCTTCTGGTCCCTCAGGTAGAGAAAGCTGGGGATAACCTGATAAGTGATAGATAGAAAATGGTATTAGAGATCTGCTTTTGGGAACTGGCTTGTAGGTAAAGTAGATATGCATTAGAATAATAGCCCAAGGCAACAGCAAGGGTTAATTGATTCCTAAAAGCCTGTTTGTGACAGTCTCTTCAAGGCCCGCTGTGTCTAACGCGGACAAGCAGCAAGCAGATGAACAGGCTGGGAAATTGAAGGCATGTTCCACACTGTTCCATAATATGAGATAAGGTGACACCAGGTCATAGTGCCCAAGTGCAGAGCCCTTGGTATTTCTGGTTTTGGTAGATGGACTAAATTAGGAGGAGAAACAGAAAAAGCCCAAATCAGGATGTGTGCATGTGATGGGTTTGTGAAACAAAGCAATATGTTGATAGACAGAACTGGACAGTGTGACGACCACAGGGAAACCAATCAGTGATGCCCAAGGATGAAGTCAGTCCAGAGGGGAAAAAGATACAAAGGTAGGGATTCCAGAGCAAGGGGGACCTGAGGCCACCATGGACAAAGGGCACACCATCAGCCCATCTCATCCACCCCACTTGGGGGGTGGGGTTGACCTTGGCCTCCGATCTCCAGGCTGCTGACATATGACCTTCAAGAGAAAACCTTAGAGTGAAGCTTGCATACTGGCCAGATGTACCTTGACTCTGTGAACTGTGGGACTGGTAGATAGAGAATTGTTTGCATTATTCTCATCTGCTGTCACCGTGTAGCAATAAAATTAGCCTATTATCGAAAGGAGAGGTTGTGGTCAGTCTGAGGGTTTGGGTCCACCTGGAACAAGGTATCTGGGTTATAAAGCCAGTGCCAGCAGTAATCTGGCAGGACTGTAGGCTGAAGAAAACATTGAAGAAAAAATGCTAGATGTTGGTGCTAAACATTGGTGACGTGTAGGGGTGCACACAGGTGCATGTGCACCCCCTGAGATTTGGCCACCTCTGCTGGCGGTGCCTGTGGGCAGTCGCCACTCGGCACCCCACCCCCTTGCCACCAACACTGCCACAGCTGCCTGCGGGAGCTCCCTGCTTGTTGCCACCACGCCCCCAACCTAATAAACTTTTTATGGATGTCTTGTATGCCTTGCTGATTGTTAGTGGCAAGAGTGGATTTTAGAGCAATTGACAGTGACTGCTACTTTGCCTCTGTGAAGATGAGGATCTATAAAATTTGCAAACCAATGGCATATATTCTGTAAACTGGCAGACTCCCTCCTATTGGAGCTGCAGGGTCTGTCTGGTCAGGAGCTGGAGAGATTTAGATTTTCTGGGGTGAAGCATTACTAAAGGAAAAATCTAGTCTGTTCCCCACAGGAGCCCAGCAGAATGGTATGGGGAGGTCTGGGGCTTTGGGAGTCATCCTGACATCACCTATGACTGGTCACAGGTGGGAAGAGTTGAATGCTGTGGGATGCTGGAGGACTGATAGTACCTGTAGAATGTCTCTATCTATTTCATCAGGTATTTGGATATAGCCTATGGGCATGGGGATATTAGTAGTGATTCAGTGACAGCCTAGCATTGTGTTGGGGCAGTGGGGAGAGAAGGGAAGGAGGGTGGCAGGGTTGAGTTGGGGCAGGGGGAGAAGCAGCAGGGGCCAGGTCTGAAGTGGCAGCCCACCTTTTGGATCTAGCTCTACTAACACAGCCTGCTGCTCCTAACAGGTTGTTAATCCCTGCTATAGAGAACTGTTTGTTATCTTTCAGTCATTTCACTTTTATAAAATTAGTAGAGTTTGGAAAGACCAAACGTGTTTGGCACAGCTAACAGAAAAATAAGAAATATATAATACAGCATATAGAGGTTTATTTGTCAGAGGACATGACGCTTTACCCAACAGGAAATGCATGATAGCCCCAGGAAGTGACAAAACATCTATTTTATGGGGGTATGACCGACTGTCAGGCACCTTGAGTGGATATTCCCTGAATCAGTTAAAAATCATGTCAATCTAGCTTATAATAATCCTACAAGAGCCCACAAATTTCAGCTGCAAGCAGGCCATGTGAGTCTCTTGATCACGAAACATTATACCCTAGCTTTTCTGAGAATGGGTAGTGAGGTGGAAAACACCAGAACAATCCTCTGACCTCTTGTTTTGCTTTTCTTTTTAGCCAGCAGCATCATGGATAACACAATCTTTGCTAAAGAGTGCAAAAAAGAAACACTTGGGAAATTTTATGGCTCCAAATTAAAGGGCTCCAAATGTAGGTGCCTTGGTGTCTCCATGGTGTCTGCAAACTGTTCCAAAGTTGAAAGGATGTACTGATCTTCCATTACTAGTATTTATTACGGGTGTGTGGAGCGGACCATATTTGATTCAGGTTTAGCCTGATTCGGGGGACAGTGATTCTATTAATTGATTCTGATCAATGTCCTGATTTAGATTCTGCCGAATCTGAAGATTCAGTGCTGATTCAATTTGGCCATAGACACGGCTTTAAATGTTTCTTCGACATACCTCAAAGTACCAGCCATGGCTCATGAATGCTGAGGTGGTGGGGTGCATTGAGCATCCCACAGGAGCGCAGAGGGGGCCCCCGTGTGCTCACCAGTGGACCCGGAAATCAAATGGAAGTACTTCTGGTCC